GAAGCAGTTGGTTGATGTGTCTCTCTTATTAATGTTTCCATCTCTCTCTTCCGTTCTCTCTCTAAAATCAATAAAAAAATATTTTAAAAAATCTCTGGGCTTATGTTAGTCTGTGTGTTGATATTTATTTCTTTTATTGATTTCAGAGAGGAAGGAAAAGGAGAGAGAGATAGAACATCAATGATGAGAGAATCATTCATCGGCTGCCTCCTGCATGCCCCCTACTGGGGATCAATCCCGCAACCCAGGCATGTGCCCTTGGCCAGAATCGAACCCGGGACCCTTCAGTCCGCAGGCTGACGCTCTATCCACTGAGCCAAGCCGGCTGATATTTATTCTTATAGTAATAGGATTATACTATATATTGTTTTGCAGTTAGCTTAATTTAATTAGTAATGAATCTTGGAGATCTATACATGTCAATTACATATAGGCCTAGCTCACTCTTTTTAATGGCCTTATGAGTATTTTATTGTATTGATGCACCATATTTCTTTAGTTTTAATTTTTTGCTATGATGAACAGTGCACTTCTTTATGTACACATCTATACACTCTTTTTTTTTTTTAATATATTTTATTGAGTTTTTACAGAGAGGAAAGGATAGAGATAGAGAGCCAGAAACATCGATGAGAGAGAAACACCGACCAGCTGCCCCCTGCACACTCCCCACTGGGGATGTGCCCGCAACCAAGGCACATGCCCCTGACCGGAATCGAACCTGGGACCTCTCAGTCCACAGGCCGACGCTCTATCCACTGAGCCAAACCGGTTTCGGCCACATCTATACACTCTTGTGTGAATATTTCCATTGAAAAAATTTCTTGAAATGGAATTGCTATGTCAAAGTCATGAGCCTTTTAATTTTAATATATCACCAGACTAGTCCAAAGGGTTGTATGTATTTACCCTTATGCAAACTGTGTATGAGGCTTTTCTAAGTCAACCTTCTATCTCTGCCTTCTCAGCTGGAAGACCGACTTGAGGAGTGGTTGGGGAAGACTGTGCCTGGCAGTGACTGGACACCCAATGCCCGTTTCATCATTCGTTCTTGGCTTCGGGACGGCCTCAAGCCACGCTGCATAACCCGAGACCTCAAATGGGGAACCCCTGTACCCTTAAAAGGTTTTGAGGACAAGGTAAGAATCCCATGCTTTACAGATATCTCTTATTATTCAGCCTTGAGATCCTGGGCTAACATAATACACTGTTGACTACGTCTTGTTTAACTGGGTTTCCCAATTTTTAAAAAAATTGAATTTTCCGGGGTTACTTAGGTCAATAAAATTATATTATTGTATTATATGAAGTGTATTCCCAGTGTTTTTTTATTCTACCATGTCTCTCTCCAGGTATTCTATGTCTGGTTTGATGCCACATTTGGATACATATCCATCACTGCCAACTACACAGACCAATGGGAGAAATGGTGGAAGAACCCAGAGCAAGTAAGCAGTTCTTGGTTAGCTTGTCTATGGGGAGGGTGCATGCGTATATGTGCGTGGAGGGGGTTAGGATTGGGTATTTGCTCTTTCTGAGGTCTTTGAAGAAGGTCTCAGGAGCTCTGTCTTCCAACTATATTCTGTAGGTGAACCTCTACCAGTTCATGGCCAAAGACAATGTTCCCTTCCACGGCTTAGTCTTTCCTTGTTCAGCCCTAGGAGCTGAGGACAACTACACCTTGGTCAGCCATCTCATTGCTACAGGTACCCTGGAAGACTGGACTAGGAATATTCCTAGGGAATGAGGGCTGAGGCGATACTTGGAAGGTTTTGGAAAGGTGCTGGGTCTTGAGTTAGGAGTTGAGATAGGAAATAATTTGAACATGAGAACTCAACCTACAAGGAAACAAGAACTGAAGAAAGCAAGAGCCAAATGCTAAAACTTCGTAATGAATAGAAGCGAAGCGGGGGGAAGGCCCAAATGGAGAGGCAGGATTCAGGCAGCTACTCAAGAAGTGTTGCTGGACACCCATAGTCGAGTTCAAAGGAGAGTCAGTAGGTCAGAAAGGGGAGAAAGTGATTCGAGCAGATGGTTCTCATTCATTCTCTTTCTCAATCCAGAATATCTGAATTATGAGGATGGGAAGTTCTCTAAGAGCCGGGGTGTGGGAGTGTTTGTTGCTGACATCTGGCGCTTCTACCTGCTGTACATTCGGCCTGAGGGCCAGGACAGTGCCTTCTCCTGGACAGATATGTTACTGAAGAATAATTCTGAGCTGCTTAACAACCTGGGAAACTTCATCAATAGGTAGGACTTGGTGAGGGGTCAGTCAGTAGATGAGCTGGGCTGGTGCTAACCCTGCTCCATGAAGTGGGAGGGATGGGAATAAAGAGATGCCTAGTGAATGGGCAGGAGGCTGGGAGGGATGGGAGGATAATGTGGAAAGTGGATTCCTATCAATTGGGACTTGATATTCCCAGAACATAATAGCTTATGTATGCTTGGGGGAAGTTGGTGATAGAAATGGATTTAGCAAAGTTGGTCACAAAGTTTTGTAAATTGTTTCTTATTAATGTTCTTTGTAGAATTGGAAATGTGTTTTTGCAAAAATATAGTTAACTTACATGCATTTGAAAAGTTTAACCAAGGAAAGGGTTTATTTTAGTGTAGGGGTAGGAGACTTCTGCTGTACTCTGGAGTTTTTGTTACTTGAGCTCAATTTCATTTTTGGCCCTATATCAGCTATTCTGAAATCTAAAGAAATATCCTCAATGGCTACCTACCCTTTCAGGTTTGATCATTAATCACATTTAACAGCAATTTACATATATTTCAACTTGATTATTCTGAGTGTTGATTTTTAAAAATAAAACGAACAGTTGCTTAACTTTATCAGGGCTCTTTAAACAAGGGATAATGAGTGTGAAATGTCTGTTATGTGCAGGTGTATTCTTAGGGGAGAGAATAAGGAATTACTTTGTTAAGCTTTGCCTTCCAGCTTGAAGGAGCCAGGAAGTATCAGTTCTGAAAGAATGTAGAATTAAGAAAACCGGGTCAAATTTCTCTAAGAAGACTGGGAAATTACTCTTTTTCTCCCCCCTCTCCTTCCCTTACTCCTTTCAAGAGCTGGGATGTTTGTGTCTAAGTTTTTTGGGGGTTATGTGCCCGAGATGGTGCTTACCTCTGATGATCAGCGCCTGCTGGCCCATGTCTCCCTGGAGCTCCAGCACTATCACCAGCTTCTAGAGAAGGTTCGGTAAGTAACCTACACCCGTCTCATCTGAGTGGTCTGCTGGCATGTTGAGAAGCCCATACTGGTCTTTCCAGGACCTTATACCTTGGCCTGCCTCCCCCCTTCCCAGGATCCGGGATGCCTTACGGAGTATCCTCACCATCTCTCGTTATGGCAACCAATACATTCAGGTGAATGAACCCTGGAAGCGGATTAAAGGCAGCGAGGCTGACAGGTAGGTAAGGAGGTAGGGTTCGCTACAGGGATAAAGTGTGTGGTAGGCTGTGTCCTCTTAGAAGTCCTGACTAATGACTCTGTTTATCTAGGCAGCGGGCAGGGACAGTGACAGGCTTGGCGGTGAATATAGCTGCTTTGCTATCCACCATGCTCCAGCCTTACATGCCTACGGTTAGCTCTATGATTGCGGCCCAGCTGCAGCTCCCACCTCCAGCCTGCAGCATCCTGCCCACAGACTTCCTGTGCACCTTACCAGCAGGACACCAGATTGGCACAGTAAGTCTCTGAGGATCGGCAGAGCCATTGTCTCTTGTACTAATAAAATTCCTGCATGTGCCATGCAGCCTTTGGAGAGGGTCAGAGAACTTACTTTGGGCATGGGGCTTTCACAGCTATTCTCTGAAGCTCTTCGGCACCCCTCCCCACTTTGCACTTAGGCTTGTTTCTGATATAAAATTCTTGGTATTGGCTCCCAAGCCCAGTGTTATCTGTAGCCCATATTTTCTCCTCGTCCTTCATGCCAGAACCCAGTACATGGTACATGAAACTGATACACAGTAGATGCTTGAAGTAACACCATGGTCACTTGGTCTCTATAAGGCTAACAATCAGTGAGCTGTGAGAATACGGGGTAGCCATTTCCCCTTTGACACAAGATGATAAAGTAAGTCCACCTTTAAAATTTGCATCAACCTAGCATCATTTAGTCTTGGACCCTATTAATACTTTGTTTTTTCATAGTAACTGCTAGGACTTTTCCTGGATTCTTTACTGAAATTGGCGATACACTCAAGCTTCTTGTAAAGCATTTAGAGTCCTTGAATGTTGGTGATTGGGGTTAGAGAGGCCCTCTGTATAGTCTGATAGAGTTTATACCTAATCAGTGAATGATTCTGGAATTCTTTTTTTTATAGGTCAGTCCCTTGTTCCAAAAATTGGAAAATGACCAGATTGAAAATTTGAGGCAGCGCTTCGGTGGGGGCCAGGTGAGAAAGCTAGACTGTGCTCTCACCCAGCAACAGCCACAGTGCCATCTCCTATGTCCATAAG